AAATATATGAGCCAATCACAGCCCGGCACGTGTGCAGTTTACGGACTACGGCTGTTTGAAAGGTTTTCTTCCATAAAATTAATCGATTCTAGACTAATTTGACTCAACATTTCCAAAACACATATCATTTTTGGGAATAATCCGTATAAACTATGCTATAAACAAAAAATTGTGGGATTACTTACCGAGTGTGCTTAAGCTTGTTTTCGTCGCGGAGCAGCGCACCAAACGGCGGGCGCGTTTTCTGATAAGTTATTTTTCTGCGAAAAATTCGTTGAACTTTGGAGACATCATTAATAGAAATAATTTTTATGACCGTTGAATAAGAAATGTTTTTATCACAAGAAATGTATAAAATTACAGTACTGTATTAGACTTAGAGTACCTAATTTATATACTGTACAGATGACGTGCGGCTAAATATCCAGATGGCACAAAGCACTGATTGGTCAGCTGAATGACGTCAACCCACTGAAATAGGAAATACTGGTCGATAAGCCTACACCTCATATTGCTGTTGTGAGAGGGAACAGCTATTTGTAAATTGATTTTTCATTTGTGATTTTTCTAATATAAATTTAAATAAGTGCGCATTCGAAATGTTTCCTTGCAACATTTGTGACAAAGAGTACAAGGCAAAGAAAAGCTTAATTAGACATCAACGTCTTTTACACAACGTTGTGACATGTCAAGAAAAAATTTGCCTTGTCCATTTTCTGTAAGTGAAGAATGTTTGAACCTGGCATGTGTCTCAATTAAAAGGTTAAGACAGCACTGTATTGAAAAAAACGGCTATGAAGAATGTGAAGAACAGCTAACGTTTAATGATATGACAGGTAAGTTTTAAGTGTTAAACCATAATTTTAGTGTTTTTAAAGTAGTTCTCAGTATAGGTGATTCTTAAATTAATGGTATATCTAAAACATGTAATATTAAAAGTGTATTTAACAGATAAAGTTTTGTAGTATGACAAATATTAAGATTAAACACTGTATAACAATGAATAGAATACTAGTTTTTTGGTAGAAGTTACTTTTAGTTAATTTATATCTAATTTTTAGTTTTTAGCTGGTTTGGATTTTTTAAGTTGTGTTTTACGTGTAGTTGCAAGACTTAGTGTAAATTACAGTTCTTAATTGTTTTTCCTAAAAGTAAACTTTTTGTGGGGTGTCTTTGTTTAATTGGTAAAAATAATAATAGCAATTACAATACGCTGTTTAAGTTATAAAAAAGAAATGTATAAAAGTTATTCATCTGAGAAACTAATTAATATTGTACTTTTTCTCACTAGAATTTTTTGTCTGGAAAGATAAAGAAGTTTGTAAAATCATCTTTTATATCACGTAATGGTCCAACAACACTTTCTGATGGCAAAATTAAAAAGAAATCTATACATGTCATCGATCAGGAAATTATGTTCCAAAAGGATGTGTGAAACGTCAAATAAAATCACGGGGATCTTGCAAAAGTGGAAATATATGTATTGCTTCTATTGAGGTGTTTATTACATCAAATTCAATAATAGCTAAATACCATAAAAACCACTGTGGACACAATCTCAGTCTTGCACACATCCATTTGTCTGATAGTGAAAAAGCAGTTATTGCAGGTAAAGTGTATTTTACTGGTTGATTTGGAAAAAGTAATAAATGATTAATTATCAATACTTTACTTTTTAGGAAAACTTGCTAATAGTGTCACCCTGAAGAGAATCTTAGATGATATTCGAGATTCTACAAGTAATGAACTTACTCGCATTCATCTTGTGACAAGAAAAGATTTGCAAAATATCAAGTGTGCATACAACATTCAGGAAAAGAAGAAATATCAACCTGAAGATAAGATCAGTGTGCAGCTATGGGTAAATAAAATGAAAACATTAGAACAGTCTCCAGTTTTATATTTTAAACAGCAAGGGGAAGTTGATGCTCAACAGAAACTTAGCAAAGAAGATTTTATACTGATAATCATGTTACCAATACAACAAGAATTATTAAAGATGCTAGGACAGCAGATGATCTGTGTGGACTCCACTCATGGCACTATTGCATATGATTTTTATGTTAGTACTATATTAACAGTTGATGAATTTGGAAGTGGTCTACCATGTGCATACTGCTTAAGCAATCGAATCCACACAACCACGTATTCTTTGTTTTTTGCTGCTGTCAGAGAAAAGCTTGAAAAACTGGAAACCATTGTTTTTATGTCTGATGATGCCTCTGCAATTTACAATGCATGGAAAGATATTATGGGTCCTGCTACACATCAGTTATTGTGCACATGGCATGTAGATAGGGCTTGGCGTAAAAAAGTTGTCACATCTTTCCCTGTTAAGGTTACACAAGAACTTATATACAAGATGCTACGAGTTCTTCTTAAAGAACAAATCCAGAAAAATTTGAAAATCTGATAAAGAAATTCATTTAATCATTAAACGAAAAAGAAACTGAAGAATTTCAAAAGTATTTTGTTCTTACTTATGCTTTCCATCCTAAAATGTGGGCATATTGTTATAGAAAGGGTCTTGGCATAAACACAAACATGTATTTGGAGGCCATGCATAGAGTTTTAAAACATTGTTATTTGGAAGGTAAAGTGAACAAGAGGGTGGACCATTGTATTGATGTGTTGTTAAAGATGGCTCGTGACAAATTGTTTGAACGCATCATAAAGATGTGCAAGGGAACTATTTCACACAGGCAAGCAAAAATGCATATAAGTCACAAAGAAAGTGAAACAATAGCATTTTGTGATATTACCAAAGTCATTGACAGTATACAATGGCAAGTAAAATCACAAAGCATAACAAATTCTATATATGTGGTGGAGAAAAAAATGAGAACATTGAAGACCATACTAGATGCAAGTTGTTATGTAATAAATGCAATGTGTGCGTGCATGTGTATTCATGTACATGTCCGGATTACGAAGTGAGTTTAAACATGTGTAAGCACATTCATGCGGTAATCAAAATAGAAAAAGAAACCTCTAACAGAAATGCAGCAAATGAATTATCTTGTGACATTTTGGCCGATGATCCAAATACACTTTTTAAGAGTGTAGAAAATTACCGTCTATGCATAAGTAAGGAAACTAAAACTATTGATCAATCATCTGAATATTGTGAATTGGAAAAAAAATGTAAATGCAGTTCATGCAATAGTGAAAAAAAAACTCGATGAAATACAAATATGTGAGCTAAACACTTTTCTTAATGATTGGTTGAGAAAAATTTCAGTGGAATCCTCATTTAACAATAATTCAAGCACTACCTGCAACAATATACCTGCAAATAAAAATATTACAAAGCAAACTAGATACAAATCAACTAAACAGAAATTCAAGAAGAGAGATTCAGCATATTCTATGAAAAAACCTAGCGATGCACAAAAGGAAAACATTCAGAAAATGATGCAGAATAAAGGAGAAAGTGTTTTAGAAATCCATACTGATAATGATTATGTATACTAGCACATTTACATTTTGCTTGTATTTACAGATATTAAATTGAAACCATTCAATTGGATTTACTATCATATTTGATTTATTATTTTATCAAGTAGTTTGAGTGAAAAGTTCTACCATCTTTAAATGATATTTGTATTAATGTCCATTTGTTTTAAATAAAGATAATTCTGCAAAATCTATTAAAATACTTCATAATAAATCTTGAAACTTGAAAAGTAATGAAAAGAAAGCTGATTATACTGAAGAAATTGCTCATTAAGTAATTTGCAAGNTTATCATTACTTTTAATCGCTATATGTTCTGTAAATTTTCGTAGACATCCGAGTAAAATGATCGCAATCTGTATCTATTGTACGGTTTGGTGCATATGTATATAAAAAAAAAAAAATTAAATTATTTAAAAACTACAAATGCAGTTCAATTCAAATCAGATGAAATTAATTAATTTATGGAATAATATTGAATATGAGAAATAAACTTGTGCTTACTATGGTAGCAGACTAGCAATGAAAACGTACAGTACAATAAAAATCGACTTTTGAAACTGAATACATTATTTAGTAATTTGCATATAATTACATTGCAATGTTCGAACGATTACTTGACTGAACGAATTAAGTCAAATCCAAGAGTGAACGGTGAATGATCACTCACCAAGAAATTTTGGGATATCAGGAGTTAATTTCACTCACGCAGGGCTTCTAAAGACGGGCCCATTGTAAGGTAATGGTGGTACTTTTAAAATACGCAGCTAAGTGTCAAGTTACTCGCTAGACAGTAACTACTAAATCTTATCAAAATTTTTTAAATAATAAATTCACAGACTATGGACAGGTAATATTAATTAAGAGTATCAGGTCAATTGGTAATTATTTTAATAATCAGTATGCATTAAAATATTTTTAGAGTGAAGATATAACTTTCGTATCTTCAATAGTGCTACATCACTGTAAAACAGATGAGTGTACAAACTCCAGGTAATATTTATTCTATAATTCTAATCACTTTTGTTCAAAATTTGACAAAATTTTCTTATTTTTAATTTATTTTTTACTAAACTATATACACAACTCACTGTTCATAATGAAGGGAAAATATATAAATATTCATAATTTTTAAGTCTGACTTCGTTCTTAGGCGAAAGTCGACATTCGCATCGAATAAGTTTGTACTAACTTCATACAGGTACAAAAAATTACTATGGAGAAAAAGCTCAGGAAAGGAAAAAACAAACAATGTGTTACAACAAAGTAAAATATTAAAACAATGTTCAGCGAAACCGTTAAAAGACTGCTTATAAATACTATTTTAATTCGGTTTTGAACATTATTTTTTCGTGAATGTCGTTAATATTTATATTTCTATTAACTGTCACTTTCACGATTTTAAATTTTAAATTGATTAGACTGTTTTTTTCTTACAATTTGTGTTCATTTTTAAACATTTTTGGGAGTTTACATTTAGTAGGGCAAAAAAACGTAGTCAAAAAATGTATAATTAAGCCTGTATAGACATTATTAAAATATCCTAAAACTGTTTGAGATGCGAAGCAGTTCTTGACAAACAACTAAATTAACCAGCATTTTGCTTTTCAAGTCTTTTTCAATAGCTTTATAGAGTTTCCATTTTCTTTAATAGTAGCGTGTTAATGAAAAATGTCCTCGTATAATATTTCGGTGGAGACGATACTTAAATTAGAAATGCCGTGTGTGTTACGCGAAAAATGTATATACGAATTTTCACTCTACGCTGCTACATAAAAAACTTTGTATAAGATTTTAGTACTTAGATGTAAGGAATAGAGTAAGGGTTGAAAGAAATAGTGAAAGAATGAAGTCGACGGTTATAATATTTGCATGATTTGGCCACGAAAATGAAAATATAAATAAATATATTTGTGAAATAGAAGAACCAATTTAGTCTTTTTATTGTGGTTAAGCAATTGTTATCATTGTTACGATATACATTGTCGTTTGCATTGTTGAAGGTTAAATGACGATTTTTACAATAAAAATGGGGATTTTAGGGGGTTGAAAAGGGGTTACGTCGTTGTCGACCAAAAAATTGGTTGACAAATGCGAGAAGCGTGTGTATGTGTAAAAAAAATTTGACCGTCGGACTAGAACACAGTCCGGTGCATCGTTTGTGTGTTTATATCTATTTTTGGTTTATTTGTGGTCGAAGGGGTTCTTCCAACGGGACAGTGGGCCCCAGGGTCGCCGATAAAGCGAAAATCCCAAAGGGGGCCCGTAGGGGCGGCTCAAGAACGGGATATGACCCGGAGAGCGGCCCTGCTACCAAAGGGGCCTGCAGGGCGGAACCGGAATCCGTATCTTAAATCCGGATGTAATCGACCAACTGCGGGTTCAGCGCAGGGCGCCGGATCCGCCCAACGAGCAGGCAGTTGTCCCGTGAAAACCCCCCCGCCGAGCAAAGTGGCTCGGAAGTTTTGTTGCATTATAGATTGTCGGCAACAAGCATAAACTTTTCCATTGCTGATATTCGGCTTTTTATTGCTGGTGTTTTACAACTCTGAACTATATATTTAGAAATCGGCTTCTCGAATTTTGAAACATTTATTTCAGGACTGTCTGCAACGCTTTCCTCCTACGAATTTCTTAAAAGTGTATCGTTTCTTCCATAAATCGTCTTAGATTACTTATTCCCGAAATTACATTACGTCGTTATCTCGCAAATGTTGGCATTCAAATTTCTAGTAATATTTAAAAACTTGTTTTTAAACTGTGTTTTCAATCCACAATTTATTTATTTTAACAAAATTTCTTGTATCCCTGAACACTGGTGTCACTTTCTTTGCCCTTGTTTCACTTATCGTATTTACATGTCGACGAAATATGCGGTGTTATCGGGCAGAGATTTGAAAACATTGTAAATTTATAAATCTCCACTGTTACCGTCTGTCTGGTTGTCTTCCATTAATCTCGAGAACGAACTTATATAGAGGAGAGACGAGATCAAATATGAAAACCCCAGGGCTGGAGGTCCCGATTAAATACACAGGAATTCCGATGCAAACCGGAAGTCATGTTATTTCAGTACAAAATTTTTCTCTGAAAGGTTTTAGATAGGTGACCGGCACGACTCTATTGTTTACTTAATTAATTAAAGGAAAAGTATGATGTACAGGGATAAGCCACTGCTAATTTCACATATTTTAAATTAAGTAAATTTGAAATATAATTACAAATTGCAGCCCGGAAGTTTACAGTTTTCACTCACCCCTCTTTAGTCTATAAACGATAAAATTGTTTTGTAGCATACATTTAAGAAGTTTTTTTTTTTTTAACAAAGATGTAAAGTCTTAAAATAATTTACGAAGGTACAATCTCCGACGTCAATTGCAGCCGCGTAACATTGTTCTTTTATTTTTATACATGACGTGCTTCCATACATCATCTATTAACATTTCGCTATTCAAATTAATTAAGTTATCATTACTTTTAATCGCTATATGTTCTGTAAATTTTCGTAGACATACATCACGTTATAGAAATATTAATTGTTATATTTATTAATTGTACAATTATTTTTACTACAATGTATAAAGCAAGGTGATTGTATATTTTTTAATTTAACCTCGAACGGACCACCGGTGTTCTGTGCGCACTTAATGTTCTGTTAATTAATTTAACTCGTCTGCCGTGTTATTCTGTAATCCGAGTATGGGCTACCGTGTAATTTCTTTTTCAAGATATTCTTCTATGTTGTAGAAAGAAAAATTGCAAAAATTTACTAACGGTCTACATTCCCCCCCCCCGGTTTATGAGTTTTGAATCTAATTTTTAAAATAGGCAGTTGTGTTTTTGATGGGTCCAATATAAATCATTTCTCTTTCGCATCTATCCGATAATTTTTGTTTATGGATTTATATAATTTCTTTATTTATATTTGTTATTATTTCAGTTGTAGAATCCTCTTCTA